TATGGAAAAATAATTTAAATTAATTTGTTGTAAGGGAGTGGCATTAATGAAACTGTAAATGAATTATCTATTATACACTTAACAAATCATGCTGTATATTTTCTCAACTTCTAGAAAACGAGGGAGGTGGTGGATGTGAACACCCTTCATAGTAAACACAGCAGGATCTCACAAATAACAAGACCCAAAAAGAAAAGACCAGGTAAGTCAAATAAGTCTGCTGTCCACGTTTTATCACTCTTTATAAGCTGTGTAAGACATTTAGATTTGCAAGATCCTTCACTTTCTCTGATCTCATGGTTTCTTCTGTCTGCTTTCAGAGAATGAGCGAGAGTGGATGATATGTGAGGGATTTCAGTTCATCTTGAAACACCAGGCCAAGGCTTTGGTCAGTCTTGGGGTCTGCATGAAGTTTGAGGTTGGTAGTTTAGTTTAGCCTACTAAACCCACACAATGTTATGCATGACACAAAAAAAGTGTTGTATTTTGTTTTGACAGACAGAAGTTTTGTGGAATTTCTGGACGAGATACCTGCAGAACACACAGCAAGCTTTCACCAGAAATCCAGTGTACACTCCAAGGTTTACGGTGGTAAGTTTATTTATTTATTTTTTTTTTTAATGTTGAAAATAATAGAAAGGGCTGTACATTTTATATAGTGTAAAAATAACACCATCTTTCTGGTTTCTCTGTTTAAGTGTTATTTTTGTATTGCTTATATCCTATTATAGTATTTATTATAATATTTTGAATTAGTGTTGTTTTATATGTTCATTTTAATTTGTTTTGTGTTGTGTTTTACTGCTTTTGTCATTTTTATTATTGTTTTTTTAAATGCATGTTTAGCCATAATTTATTTGTATTTTAATTATTTAGTTCTTCAACTTGAATGTATTTATTTCAATTAGTTGTCAAGTCAACATTTCTCATTTTCATTTCAATTTTCAATATTTTATTTTTACTTCAGCTTTTTCAATCACCAAAAATGATTAACAACACTGCTCTGCTCTCTTCCTGTCTTTTTTG